TTGTGCAGCCCTTTTCCCTACTTCGCCTTGCTGCTAGCTACACACAATTTGTTTTTAGCTTGCCCCTTTGTTTAAGAAGATATAAGCTGCATAATTAATATGTTTATGAGTATTAAGCCTTGCACTATTACGAAAATAAAATTATGTGTGAAAACCTTAACTGAACAAGTGATTGTGAAAGTTCTAAACCTAATTGTGACAAATTACTCTTAAAATTGGATTCTTTCTCAATCCGGCTTTTTTTTTATATTAATTTTGTTTTAACCTTTTTATTGTAGGATAATATAAAAATTGCATTTACTAAATTTGAAAGATTTAGCTTAAATATACAAGTTATTCATTTTAATTTGAATTATAAATTTGGTATATTTATATTTTTATTTCAATTATGAGACACTGAATAATATTTTGTGTCCCAAAATCAAAATTAATAACTTACATTTATACAATGCTAAAGGCCAGTTACCTTGTATGATAAGCAGAGGTTTTTATTTGTTATTGTATTTAAGCATCCCACAACCATAAGCAAGTAGTTATGCTGATTTTTATTTTGTTAGTTTTCTATGGTATTAATTTCCTAAGTTCACTTTACATTACTTTATAATAAGAAAATATGCATTGCTTATAATGAATAAATAATCAATTTTCACGGGATCTCATGAATATGTAAAGGAAAATTTTAGTTTTATATTGAATACATCAGTTTTGCAAGGACGTTCAAGACAAGGACTGATAAAATAACATTATGATATTCAAGTAAAGATTTTCAAAGCTGTGAACTTTTGAAAATTTATTCCTTAAAAAAATTAGAACAGTCTTCAGAATATTTTCAGAGAAAAATGAAATTGAGAACTTGAAACTGGACTGAAAATTTCAATGGACCTGTAAATTTTGCATTTATAGGCCAAAAATTTTATATTCGAAACCTAGATCAAAATTTTATGACTTTCACAAAATTATATTTCCGTTTTTTTCCTAACTCTCTAATACTTCTTCTAAAAAACTTTCCTATTACCAGTTCTTTTTCTCTTTGAGAGAGGGGGATATGTAAAGAAGACAGCTAATTTTAATTTAGCAATTACACTTTTACTTCCTCGTAGTAATTTGGCTCTCTCTTTCTGGTCTAAATTGTTTATAATACTTTTTCAGGAAATTTCCAAATGAATTAGGTTTATATTATTTATCTCATCATGCCACAATGTGGATGGCTGACATCCAATAAAATTAAAGAAGCATTTTACTGTAAATACATCTGTTGCTATTGCAGAGCCCTTTTCTCCTCCTTCTCCTTGCTGCTTTATATGCATGGTTTGTTTTATACGTGGTCATTTGTCTAGGAAGATGTAAGCTGTAAAAATTGTGAGCCGAACAGCACACCCATTACTAATGTCGTAAGAATCTATTTATGCACATCAAAGCTTGTTCTATTATGAAAATAAAATTAAATATTTAAATCAAAGTCCATGTCACACAGCTTTTCTTTCCCATTCCATCATATAAAGTATTCGTGCTGCTGTTGTTCTAAAACCAAGGTATTGGCATGAATTAATATTTACATACCTAATTTTAGTAGAATTAGAAGTAAAATTTGTGTATTTTTCCCGTGCAATGCAGCGCGAAACAAATTTTAAGAGAGAGCCACGCCGGAAAATAAAAATACAAGAGCACGTCCATTTAACATTCAACGAAACTATATTTCGGCAATTTGTATTGCAAGTGAATAAATGTAACTGGTTACTGTGTTAGCTATAACCGTAAATTATCCTCTTATTGCTTTCCAGAAATCTCGATAAGCAGAAATTATTAAAAAGTTCTCCCGACCGACTGAAAGCTATAAAAAGCCAAAGAGAGAACATCTCAACTCAGTTGTTAGCTTGAGTGTTAGCGTTGCGAGTTCCGCGAGAGATCGGATTAGCTTTCTCTTTACATTGCGTTGTATTTTTTAAAATTTTTTTTAATAGTTTGACGTATAACTACTGATTATATTGCTTGATATTGCGAACATTTACACCAGTGTCTCTGAGGAAAATTTCCAACGCTCTCTTACATTTCTTTTGATAAGAATAAATTTTATTAATCTATTATCGGGCTTGTGCTTTCAATTTGTTACGATCCCTTAGTTACGTTAAATGTTTTGGTGTCAGAAGTTGGATTGAATGCCAGTTACAAGAGCGATTGATAAACAATTAAGACAATTGGTAGCAGCATTTGCTGCGTTTAGAGAAGAGGTGAGAGCTGGCCAATTATCCGTTATATTAGGATAATTATCAAGAAAAGATGGAAGCTGTTGAAGTATCCGTTAATGGCGAGATTTTAAGGAGGTTAAAGTAGAAATAAAACAAGGTCAAGCAGAAATGAAGGGCGAAAATACCGCCATAAGAGAAAAAAAATTAGGCTATGGAAGGCAAAATAGACACTGATGAAAATAAAGTTGGACACAGTGAAGAAATAGTTTCTGTAAAAGAACAAGAGTTTCTTCTGTGGAACAACGAATCGAAGAAACAGTTTCTGCGTTCCTTCCGCAGTCACCAAATACGTTGACACCGTAAAGAAGAAATGCATAGCAAGAGCATGAAACAAATCTGAGGGTTCTGCAGTTCCTTTTTATGTGGCCTTCAACGCCGCAGTTCCAGCACATTAGAACTGGATTTTTTCCGTTCCTATTCCGTCGGAAGGCACTGACTGGGCTTGTCAAATTGTTTGTTTTATCTTGTGTGGCCTTGGATGTCTGCAATGTCATCGTATGAGGCCACACAAGATGTGGCACCACATTTACAACACTTTAGAGCCACTTTGTTCTCATTCCTACTCCGTATCGAAGCACTGACTTTTCTGGATAAATCATCAAAATGAGCTATCAATTGATTCACCGGCTCGTGGACTTGCACAGTTCTGATTGGGCGGCGGTCTCTACGAGTTGCTTGTTGGGTTGTCTCGAATTTCATGACGTACTCTAGAGAGCGTTTTAAATCTTTAACATCCGCCATTCACAGAGTTTTCTGTATTTCAGGAACCCGGATGTCGTCGAAATATTGTTCCGTCTGGCACTCCGAAAAGACGAGGTGAGACAGCCTTTCAACATCCGTGGCAAGATCCTGGAGTGTTTCCGTCGGCTTCTTCGACCTGATTTTAATTGAAGCCTCCTGTAATCTTTTAAGCATTTCTCGCCAAAAGGAAGCTTCAGAGTACCGGACAAAGCTGCGAAATCGAGCCTTTGGTTTTCCGGAAGAATATAAAGAATATTCCCAGTGTCTGGTCTCAGAGATGCGGCGAGATGACAGTCCTTAGCCTGAGAATCCCATCTGTTCGCTTCTGCTACTATTGAAAATTTTGCCTTATACAATGGCCAAGAGGTCTTTCTATCATATATGGATAACTTCAGGGAGAGATGAGCAAGCATGGGAAGAAATTTAAAACCCTCGGGATTGTTTTTGCTGCCGATATGCACATCTTTAGTGTATCAACTTCGTTGGCTATGGCAACAGAAATTCTGTCATCAATTTGTTGTTGGACGCCAGAAGGTCTTCCTTCTATTCGTGGCTCCACAGCAGAAACTTTTTCTTCTATTTGATCTTCTACAGAAGAAACAGTATAATCGATTTGTTGTTCTACGGCCGAAAATCTTTCTTTTATTTGTTCTTTGACAGAGGAAACGTTTTCTTCAATTTTCCCAACTTTATTTTCAACCGCGTCTATTCTGCCTTCCATAGCCTCGAATTTATTTTCTATTACACATGTAATTTCTCTTTTCATCTCTTCTTGTCCTTAATCTTTTCCTGAATAGCTTCCATCTTTCTTGAACCGCTTTCATCTCTACTTTGACGGATTCCTGGCCAGCATCCCTCTCTACTTTAAATGAAGCAAAGACTACAATCTGTCTTAACTGCTCTTCCATCGCTCTTGTGATTGGCGTTCAAATTCAACTTCTGACACAAAAAGGTGTTGCGCTCGTACGGATTCGCAATAATTTGAATGCGCAAGTCCGATGAAAAGTGAATAAAATTTATAATTATCACAACAAATGAAACAAAATGCTTAAATTTCCTCAGATATTCTTACAATTTTGCAATATTTTAAAATAGTAGTTATATTTTAAACTACTAAAACGTTCAACAGAACTTAATTCAAACCAGAGAAAGCTAAACTGATATTACCGCGAATTCGCTACAGTCACTGACAGCAGGATGTAAACAACTCAATTGAGATGTTTTCTCTCGCTTTTATAAGCTTTCTAATCAGCAAGAGAATAATCTGGTATTTTATCAATTTTTTCGGAAGATGAAATTTAAAATCGGATTCTCAATTATATGTTTAATATTAAAATAAAAACTCTACCAATAACTCAGAGAAAAAAGAAAACACTGGTAGAAAATATCAGCGAACACTCAGAGACAACTTGCTGCACCTTATGAATACGAAAACCGTACATACGTTGAATATATTGGAAGTGAGGTTTAATACATTAAGACTTTAACTGCCATTAGATTGTTGAAATTGAGTTCAGTTAAGGAATAACCTATTAGTAAACTAGATATGCAACAAAAAACTGGCTTAAATTTAGGCAAAATAAACCCCTCATTTTGGTGTACTTTCGAACAAAATTTTATTGATTGTGAGGGCAGTCGGAAGCAGGTCCCGGAAAATTGGCTTTATAACAAAAATATATATTAGTAATGTTACAAGCAGGTAATATTAGCAAATACTAGTATTACAAGATTTCTAACAATTATGTAAACATTGCAAAGATGTCATAATAATGTTTATGCAATATATATTGCTTTAACTTTTATTTAATGTGAAATCTGAAACATTTAATTAAATATCAACCCAAAATCTGAATGCTATGCTATGAATATTTTTTACTACTTACTCCAATTTTAAATTTTAAGAATAAACAACTGTTCTTAAAAGTAAAAATGCACAATTAAGTAATCACATTAGTAACAGTATTAGAAAGTATGCAGTACTCTGGAATACGTTTTACATTATGATGTTCTCACCTGGACCATCAGGATTTACACAAGTGTTTTCACATTCGTCCTTTGATGCAAAAACGTTACCATTGCCATCACATCCTCCGTACCAGAATCTTGAGCAGCCACCATAAGCTATGTCAAAAAACCATTTAATTGTGAAATTTCTGCAAGGACCAGCTTCTTTAGGGGATCTGCACACTTCTGAAACTATATATAATTTTTATCTTTATAATGAAATAAACTGAAAGCGACAGCAAAGAATTTTTTAGAATTCTAAAACTAAATCAACCAACCCTTCGTTTTCTTCCCAGATAAATAAGCGGATAAATAAAAATAAAAATAAAAATATTAGAGGACATTGTTTTAGTGAGAGGATGTAATATAAACATCTTATTTACAATAGACTTGAAATAATTCACTTAATAATTGTTCAGTTGTAAAAATGTTTATGCCTTATTTTATCTTTTCTGTGGATGGCGCTACGCTCTCGCCAGAAGTTTGATTCGCAATGTATTTTTTTTTATTTTGCCGTTTGTTTATGGCAACAGATTATTTAAAACCCAACGACTAGTATTCGATGCTAAGAAAGAATGAACTCATTGTGAACAATTCTAACAGCTAATAAAGCAAAAATCTTATTCAATTCTTTGAGTCTTTTTATTGCGTCAAATTCAAGTACTTCCAGTTAACTATAAGTCGATGAAAATTCAAGGTAAGCTATTTAAAAATTATTAGTTATTGATCTTACCAACAAACACTGAAGGCACCGAGGTATTAATATTAAAAGCCGAAAATCTAATTCTAGTATTACATTAAAGTTACCTAGTTTACAAAAAAAAATCGAATTATGCAATTTTATGTTGTAATGAAAAAACTATAAGAAAGTTTTAGTTGTATTCAGGCTATTTTCATGTAAATTTCATTCTTAAATAATGGTTTCTGTTATCCATTTTTTAAATATATGTTTGAACTTTGCACGACATCTGTACATAACTATATTGCACGTAATTTAATTCTTTAAGGTAAAATAAATATGTCAAATAGGAAATCATCAATTCATTTAATGTATCGAACTCAAATCAAGCAAATTTGAAGATTTACTGGAACTGTTGACGAAGTTTTAACATAAAAAAATATAGAGAGAATTCTTACACTGAAATCACATCTGCAAAGATGTCGTAACAAGCTTGAAGATTATTATTATGGATGTTCTATTTTTAAAGATTTTGATGAAGAATCTGAGTTTAAAAATTTATCTGACTCAGGATTTGGTAGACGAAACATTAGTTAAAATAGAAACATATCTAAATTCATTTACTAAAGAATCACAGCTCAAAGATGATAAGACGGTAAAATCTGCCACATCCTATGTGAAAATAAAGCTTCCGAAGTATGACCTTCCAACGTTTTCTGCCCAGTTTGAATCCTGGTTGAGTTTTAAATCTATATTTTTAAGTTCTGTTGATTCTAATGTATCTTTAACTGACATTCAAAAATTGCAATATCTTCAATGTGCAGCTTCGTCTGATGCTGCAAGACTTATTAGGGGATTCGCAATAACTTCTGAAAATTATAAAAGTATTAGGGACACTTTACTCGACATATGTGTTAACCAAAGAACTTAGCATTTTCTCAGTGAAGATAATTATTTAATTTAAAATTTGTAAAACCAATATCTGATTCCATTCGAACAATGATAGATACCTGCAATGAAATTGCTCAGAATTTTAAAACACTTGGTCTAGAATGCAATCAGTTAGTCGAAATTGTTCTAATATTTGCGTTAAAAGACAAGCTAGAAGATTCACTTAAAATCAAGTGGGAATTAACGCTAGAGAATAAAACATTTCCATCTTTAAAAAATTTTCTTTCGATTTTGGAAAAACAAGTTAGAAGCCTTCCGAGCGTAAAGGGAAATTATAATATTCAAGATAAATCGGTAAAATCCATTAACAAAACTTTTGCTCTTAAAGCAAATGTAAAGTTAAGGCAAGATTCTTGTGCACTTTGCCAATTACCACATCATTTACATAAGTGCGAGAAATTTCTTAAAATGAATACTGATGAGCTTTGGAGCTTCATACGAAAAGAAAAACCTTTGCTTTAACTGTCTGAGACAAATCATGGTGTATCCTCATGCCGATTCACTACATGTTGCAGGGCATGTAAACAGAAACATCGCACAATTCTGCACCCTTTTAGAAGTGATAAAAAACATTCAGCTTAAAGTCAAGTACAGTCTACTCGAAAAAGTCTATCTCAAAATCAGCCTTTATATCAACCTTCGGCTAGTACCTCGGAAGAGCAGCAGTTTTGCTTCACAGGAAATGTAAAAAATTCTAATTTAATTTTACTTGCTACAGGTGTAATAAGAGCAAAAACAAAAACAAAAACAAAAAAAAAATCATGGACAGTTTCTCGAATGCCGTGCTCTAATTGATAATGGTTCTCAAACACCTTTAATCACTGAATCGTGTGGTAATTGACTAACTAATTTTCATTTTAAAAGTCTAAACACACTATCCTAGGACTTGATGATACAGTTGCTGCACATGTTACGAAAGAAGCTAATTTAAATTTTACTCCTCATTTTAATATCAAGAACTTTTCGGTTAAGGCTTTAGTAGTCAAAACGTTGACGCCAAATTTACCAAACTTTGATCTGTCAGAATTCAATTGGCCTTATTTGAAAGGATTACAATTAGGAGACCCTTCTTTTCACGAAGGTAGACGGATTGATATCATTCTGGATGCTGATATATTCTTAGATTTAATTCAAACTGGAAAGATAGTGGAAATCAAAACCAACCATCCGTGGTAAATTCAAAATTGGGTTGGCTCATTTCAGGAAGGGTGTCCGTTTCAAATAGAATTCAGAAATCTTTAATCAATTGTCATGCTTTAGTATACATTTAAAATTTAACAAAAAAATTCTGGAAAGTCAAATCGGTTCCAGAAGTGGGTACACTGAATGATGAAGAGCAAGAAGTCTAGGCATTTTATTTAAATCACACTAGTCGAAATTCTGATGGTAGATTTGTTGTCAGTCTCCCATTTAAGAATATAGATCTATTGGGTGATTCAAGAAGTCAAGCTAAGAAGCGGTTTTTTTCCTTGGAAAAAAAATTCAACAGAATCCAGAGTTTAAAATTCAATATATACATTTCATGCGGGAATATCAAACAATGAATCATACGTGTATTGTTGCAAATATCTATTTTTCAAAATCATCGTCAGAGGTTTTCTATTTACCTCATTTTGGAGTTACTAGAGATAACTACCAAGTTACGGGATATTGACTTCTTGAATCACCCAATAGATCTATATTCTTAAATGGGAGACTGACAACAAATCTACCATCAGAATTTCGACTAGTGTGATTTAAATAAAATGCCTAGACTTCTTGCTCTTCATCATTCAGTGTACCCACTTCTGGAACCGATTTGACTTTCCAGAATTTTTTTGTTAAATTTTAAATGTATACTAAAGCATGACAATTGATTAAAGATTTCTGAATTCTATTTGAAACGGACACCCTTTCTGAAATGAGCCAACCCAATTTTGAATTTACCACGGATGGTTGGTTTTGATTTCCACTACCTTTCCAGTTTGAATTAAATCCAAAACTTCAAAATCTGGTCCAAAACTTCAAAATGCATTGTTCGACATCCTGTTAAAATTTAGAACTCATTGTATGGCACTCACTGGAGATACTGAGAAAATGTTCTGACAAATCCTAGTCAATAAAAATGACGTTGATTTCCAGAGAATCATTTGGAGAGAAAATCCTGATGAACTGCTTAAAGAATTCCAGCTTCTAACAGTTACGTATGGCATTTCTTGTGCTCCATATTTGGCTATACGGAGATTAAAACAACTTGCCATAGAAGAACAAACGAATTTTTCCAGAAGCTTCGAGAGTCATACTGGAAGATACCTATGTAGATGATGTTCTCACAGGAGCAAAGAGTAATGAGGAAGCAAAACAGTTAGTCTCACAAATTATCGAATTAATGAAGGAAGGTGGTTTTCCAATAAGAAAATGGGTATATAATGAACCGTCAGTCATTGAATTTTTACCCCAAGAACTAAGAAGCCAAATGGACCTTTGACAGGGTACAATTCTAGGAATCATTTGACAAATCTATACATTTCTAGGAATCATTTGGGATGCTGAAGAAGATATATTCAGAATTAGAATAAACTGACCTATGGATAGTGTTTTAACAAAACGTCAACTTCTGTCAACTATCGCGAAAATTTATGATGTTCTTGGGTTTTTATCACCTACGGCGATTCAATTAAAAATCTTAATGCAGCATTTATGGAAGAAAAGTATTGAATGGCATGATTTATTATCTAATGATATTTTACAAGCATGAAATCTCTTTTGAAATCTCAAATAGAACATTTCTATTAAAAATATTCAAATAATTGGCTTTTGCGATGTGTCTGAACATGCCTATGCTGTAGTGTTTTATCTAAGAACAATATTCAAAAATGGAAAACTTCACGTTTCATTGATTAGTTCAGAAACAAAAGTTGCTCTTGAAAAGACAATAACATTGCCATAACTCGAATTATGTGCAGCACTTCTTCTTTCTAGATTCTATAAAGTTGTTTCAAGATCCTTAAGGAAGAATATTCACATTGATCAGACTATTTTATATTCAGACTCAAAAATAATTTTAGATTGGCTTAGTTCATCTCCTCAAAGGTGGAAAAGTCTTGTTGCTAATATAATATCAGACATTCAAGACTCAACTTCAGAAGCTTCATGGAATTACGTGAAAAGTCAAGAAAATCCAGCAGATTGTTCGTCTAGAGGTATTTCTGCATTAAAACTGAAAAGTCACTTTGTGGAGGCGTGGTCGTCAATTGGTTGTGTCAGCATAATATGCTCCCTCTTTTGCCTAGAGACCTACAGGAAGCATGTGTAGATGATATCAGACACGAAGAAAAGAAATCGTTTCTGTCAGTCAATATCACCATTTCAGATATACCTGAAATTACTGCTATGTTTCGTGGTGTTTAAGACTCATTAGAAATTGCAAAATACAAGCTCAGAGTCAAAAAATCAAATGTGTATTATCACCTGGAAAGCAACTTAAGCTCATTCAAAAATCAGAATTCAAGCTTCAGACGCCAAAGAATCCTCATTTTACTTTTACTATATTGATACAATATCATCACAAAATGCATTTATA